GTGTGTGTAGTTAAGCAGAGTGATATTTAATTTTCAATAAAGTTATTGAGCACCTAATCAAATTGTGTATATTAATATATTTAAACAGTATATGTTTTCTATAAAAAAAATTTAATATCCTATTATTTTGTTTTTCTTTACTTTTTTTTGATGTATATTTCCACGTTATAAATTTAATCTGATTTTTTTTTGTTATATGCCCCTAAGTAAATAAGAAGTCCCATAACAACACACAATTGAAGTACCTATTTTTCCCTTCTTAACCAAGGTTTAGAATAAAGTTATTATTGTAAGTGTTGCAAATTATATATATATAATAATGATATAGAATAATTTTGAAGTTATTAACCTTTTAGTGTGCTTAATTTGTATTGTTTGAACAATTTATTAGAAATATGAGTAGACATAGTTAATTTTAAGAAAAAGAGGATTGCATAGAGGACCCAGCGTGGAGGGAAATAGCACAATCACAGTGAGCTTTATTCATGATGTCAATGCCGATCTAAACGGTAAACCCTATGTATACGAACGCTACGTGGGTTTAATTTCTGTAGCTTAAATGGACGGATTAATGAATCATTTGACCAGACAGATGGGTAAAATTCTTTATACAAAGATTTGTTTTTGTATGTAAGCCTTTATACACAACGAATTTATTTGTTTAGTTAGGGCCTTGTATCTTTTCGTCTGTTTGGTATGACATTTATGCTAATTTCCTTGAGTATACATTAATTTATATGATAGTCGCACATCCTAATCGGCCAATTAAAGTGGGAAAGCAGAGCAAAAGTAGAAACTGTAAAGATTAATAAAAATTGAATATAGCAAATGAACTCAACAAATTTAATTCTTCTAAATTATTTATATGTAGATTATGGATATGAGTACTATTCAAGTTCTGAAAATAAAAAGAGATATTCAAGCATCAAAAGGCATGAAAAGTGGAAGAAAATTTCATACTTAAGTTAACAATTCTTTATTCAGATGTAAATGATGCAGTAGTTAATAATCATCTAGCTTATCAACTATGCTATTTATCTTTTGAGTGACACCAATACCATTTGCTTGAAGAAAAAACAACAGCATCATTGAGAGTCTATCCATTAGCTTAATTACCTTGGGTCATGTATCACTGCTTTAATCCAATGTGCGCCAAGAGTTTTATGATATTTTCCACAAGACAATGTGATATGTGCTACACCTTTGTTTGCAGTGAGAGCTATTCATTAGCGGTAATTTTATTTACTAATGCTATTCTCTTTATCAGACCGCAGGTAACCTTACTAAGGCGATTACGAAAGATACAATTGAATAGATATGACATTAGTAATGAGTTATTAGTACCTGGGAGCGAAAAATACGAGAAATTAACGGTTTGATATCAATATTTGTGTTAATCTCTCAGGAATATCGTTAATAAATAAATACTACACCAATGCATAACATTCAACAATGATTATTGTAGATTTTTCAAATCTTATTTTTACAATTTCTAAAATAACTGCTGTCTATTCTTGAGTTTACTAGATCACATTTTACACCACAGCCAACACTACCAAATAGGGAAAATAATAGTGACTATACTAAATAAAAATGTAAAATTTATACACCTCAAGGTGATGATGCTTTTTTTTTTTGTAACGTATTTTACACATTTATGTAGATTCATTTTGTCTATAGAGGGCTATGAAGAAGTATTCAAAGCATTTTTATTTTTTCAGTAACCAATCTATTCTACTCCTCCAAGTGATTTCTGGTATCCAACCTGCTCAGTACAGATGCGGAGAATGATGAGTCGCTGATCTGGAAAGATTGTCTGAGTTTAGCGTTATAGCTACTTGACTTTCCGTTGCTCTCGTGATGCCTTCGACAGGCGTCAACGTGGCGCTTGAGAGATTCGGTAGCGAAGGTTCGCCCACAATATATGCACGGCTCCAGCATGAGCTCATCCTTTGGCAAAGCGCCATCAATACCTAGGAAGCCGATCTCTCCGTCAAGAGTAGACTTTGCTTGCTGAAGTGTGTTGTTCGTATTGTTGTACGCATCTGAGGGGGCGGGGCTGATCGTCTTGATCCCCCCGCTTAGCGTGCGCCGCATCATGACTGAGGCAGGCAGCTCATCCATCGGGTTATGAGGGGCGAGATCGCTAGTATCCTCCTTTAAAGAGGTGTTCGCACTACTGGAAGTAATGGGCAGCTTCACCAGTGAACCTCGAGGTGCCCCTGTTAGCTGCGAGCTAAGATTGCCAAGTGGTCGAGAGCCCTCAACTTTGGCGAGGCTGAAATTCATATTTTCATTACCCAATACGCCTTGAGTGGGGTGCTGGAGTGGGCTTCCAGAGATGGCCTTCAAGTTTGGCGGTAAATTTAAGCTGTTGCTTCTGGCAAAGGGGCCACCACCGTCTCGTTGTTGCAAACGAAGGATTTCTCCATCCCATTGCTGAGATGCTCGTTGAAATTGATTTTGCTGAGCCGTACTCTTTTTCGTAACACTAAGTTTAAGCTTCAAAAAACAGATGTCTTTGATTTCTGCCGGTGTAGCATTGGAGAGCAATTCCATTTGCTCTGAAAACAGTGCGTTGCCATCGAATATGGCCTCGTGATCAGTATCAACAGAAAGTAAATTTATCATGGCTATTTTTACAAAAAAGTGAGTATATTAATAAAGAAATATGATTTAGTGACTAGCTTCAACTTTGAGATACGATAATAAAGCGTCAATATTAGTAGTAGTAAACATAAATATAACAATATATTGCTATATAAGGTCATTTCACTAACTTTGACCACTATCCTAGTTGTCTTTCCACTCAGAAAGACAAATAAATATAACAATATATAAGAGGACTACTCATTGAGTAGCCCGCATCACGACGTAATTCCGCGTGGAGGAGCCAAAAGTTATCACATCCCCTTCCATCAACGCCACTGCTGTGTATGGGGAAAGCCTTTCATGGTTCAGGAAGGTCCCGTTGGTGGCCCCAAGGTCCATAATCCGTAACTCCAAGGACCATACCCCCCCGTTTTCTTCTCCGGCTGCCTCCCGTTGCTCATCTTCCAGATCCACCAGCCGCCTCGAAAGACAGGAACAGACCATCTCCAATGAATCCGACGCTCCCGGAGTAGTCAAAAGGCACTCTGATGCGTTCCCCGCGAGGGGGTGTTGAACTAGTGTGTTCGTCATATCCTCCTCAATATCAAATGGGAGTGAGAACTCCACTGTCAGCGCGGCGTGCTGCGCTGAGCAGCTCGGATGGTCGAGAAAGACATCATTCAGTGTGTGGTCCTTTCCTAGCAAGGTGACAGCTCGACGGAAGGGCTTCGCGATGGCGCCCACGCTTTTCCCATCCTTCACCACAACGACTGTGAGTTCAGGCGGGTAGCACTGCACCTCCGTCAACGACGACGTAGAACATTTTTCCTTCGCCTTCCACCGCAGCACTCCCCGCATGAGCGCTGCCCTGTTAGCGGAATCCTGCTTTCCTTTCCCCGCCAGGAGTTCGACAATATAGGATAAGCGTAAATAGCGAAACAAAGAGTCATCTACGCCGCCGCCCTGCGAGAAGTGATGGAGGAGACGCTGTGGGCAGGTTAGCAGACTAGGAGACCACTTCAGCCCGACCGTCTGCACCTTGGTCAAAAGTCGGGGTTTATGACCGATAGGCAGGCCGTCCCTTTGCGCGTCGAGGAACCCGGTGCGGCCGAAAAAGGGGTATTCCATCCCTACCCTTGTGAAAATGGAGGATCGATCTGTGACACGTACCCTCTTTCTTGAGAAACGTGGGCTTTCAAGAAGAAGAAGAAAAAAGGGGAAAATCACCAGAGAAGGATTCGCTTTACTGGTGTGTTAGTAACCTTTTCTTTTTTTTGCGCAATGGAAAGAGTGAGACAGAGAGGAGATCAGACACGCACACGCATAGAGGAAGAGAAAGAGATAGGTATAAGTATCATGTGACTGAACCATAAAATTGTCTAAATGAAATGCTATCCAAGACGGATATATGCTACTTAGTTCTAAATTTTCATCAGCAAAAAAAAAATTTACGGAGTGAAAACTACGAAGACAACTAGTTAATACATGGCACGTATGAAAGTATAAAATAAACAGTGTATTTTAAAATGTGAGTTGCCCTGTACATACATAAATGCCCACATGATATATATTATACTAGTGTGTGCGTATATTTAATTACTTCCTCCTCTTCTCATCCTTATAAATGAATTTACTTAAAGAATTTCCCGAGTTTCGGACGAATCTCGGTGTACACCTCCGCCGTCCAGCGAAGCCAGACAAACAGAAGAACCTCCATCACGATCACCGAGATCCAAAAGGGAAGGCCCCTCTCGTTCCGTCCGAACCTCCATGTACCTTCGTATCCAGAGATCTCAGACAGAGTCGCATTCACGAGTTTTATGTCACCTAAATACGAACTGTTAACCGAGTTTGAGAAATAGGTCGCTTTAATTGGATGAATTGAGCCGTTAATCTTGCCCGTGTGCGGTGCGGAGGGTTCAGGATCCAGCTTTGCTTCGCTTTGCTGCACAGCAGGTGGGAAGTCACGCCGCCCTGAATTAGACCTACGAGACGAGGGCATTTTAGAATCTATTTTGAAGGAAGAAACTAAAACGTTTCAAAGGGGTTAAAACAGAGTAGAAAGGACTTAAATTTATTTATTTTGAAACTTTATTGGGCAATTTAAATCCCTTCCGATCTCTAAAAAACGAAAAAAAGGATATTTATTTGAAATAGGGCATTATTACATATTGAAGTCTAATACTCAATATACTTCCTTGATAAGGATTATTCTCTATCCCCCCACAACTCGATCTTTTTCCTTTTCACCTTTTAGGAAAAGACACATGCTAAATTATTCTCTGTGAGCGTGGACCGCGCGGTCAGGGATTTTCGCTTCTTCGTAGTATTCAAGAAAAACACCCCATTCTCCTCCCTCTTTCCTATATTTTAATCAAGCAATTTTGTCTTCTGATCATTTTCTCCAACATCAAGGTCGGATTCCACCACCTCTCGATCGATTTCAAAGTTTCGCAACACCATGGTGAGCCGGTCAAGATATTCCTCCGAGCTCACATTCACCACACCAAAGGTCCCATGAATTGTTTGAATTTTGAGATCTTTTTTTGCGTGGATTGTTTTGATTTTCGAGGTAAGCTCTGATGTCGTAGCGTCACCGTAGAGCGCTCGTACGACTTGTTCGGGATCTACTTTTTTAGCTGTCGCGGCTGCTTTATCCGAAGCCGCGCTATTCCGCTCATCTTCTACCATCAAACTAGATATCTTAGACCTTGTCTGTTGATAACCAACTTGCTTGTGAATCTTCCGCAGTGACTCTTCCACGTTATTCACCGCGAATTCCTTGCCCACATACTTTCGTTCAATAAATCGTTTAACTTCTTCATTCGATGAGTGTTTTGTGAGGAGCTTGTCGGAGGAGGAAGGGATGTGTGCGCAGTAGAGAGCCTCTCCACGGCGGTTGCCAATGGCCTCCATCAGCGCCACTTCTACTGTTGTCCAGCGATCCATGCTTGTGGATTTCACCTTTGAAATATGCACACCAAGAGAACGATGCACACCTGCGCAACGAATGCAAATAAAAATGCCGTGATTTACTGAGGCCCACTGCGTACCATTCTCATTGCAATCACCGCAGACGTTGTTTGGAAAGACCAAGCATAGCTGCTCGATACGTTCGTGGTTGGCTGCCCAATTTTCGACGTCTTGGTTTGACACATTTTCTCTTTTAGCTGCAGTGGAAAGGGGAGTAGGTTCTGTAGTAGAATTAAGATGTTTGTTAGAATGTCGCTTGGAGCGGTGCTCACGTTTACTTTTTTGTTTTTTTTACTTGGTGACTTTAGAGGTTCGTTTGTTGTGGACACAGGAGGCTGACTGTCATCCAATATTGCTTCCATTTTTGTGTGCGTTTAAGGTATTTTTGTCCCACTATCTCTTTATCTATATCTTAGCTCTTAAAAATACCGAACGAAATGGATTCCTTTGTTTTGGTGACGATGCCCTACACGTGTTTCTATTTATTTACTCACGGAAATGGTGTGTAACGAATAAGAACATTAATATTCCAAAAATAAAAGGTACAATAACCCTGTGAAATAATTATACAAAGAGGAATATAGACAATTTTTTTTTTGGAAGAATTGTATTAATGCAAGGAATGATATCATTGGTCATTTTAAACAGACACATCGGGGCATTGTAAACGTAGGGAAGGCATATAGTGCTCTAACTGTGAAAAAAAAATCGTAACATTTTCTACGTTCTCCCTGCAAGTGCTTAACATTTATATCTCGATACCACGTAACTATATGTTGAAAAAAGGGGAACGTACATGACTTCAATTCTTTATTATACGAGTAGGTGATTAACGATTTTTTCCCTCACTGATAAAGCATTGTCAACTTAGAAATTCTTCGTTAATCGCAATACAAGTAAACGCAAGCAAGATTAAGAACATGGTAAACCAAAAAAATACATAACAAGTAAGACTCTTGAGATTTGTTTTCAAGAAGAACATAGATAATTATGTATAAACCTGCACGATTCACTGCATTTGGAGGGCTTACAATAGAAATATTACTTCGCTCAGTAAGAATTTGTTGATGAGTTCTTTGTCACTCCTTTTTTCAAAAAAAAAGGGATGGACAACTAAAAACACCCTTAGCCTCTTTTTCCAGCAGCGCTCTATTTTTGAGAATCATGATTTGTCACTACGGAGGTGCACGGTAAGCATTTCCCCACTTTTCAACCCATTCCACTTCATCAGGGTTACTTCTTTTCCTTCCTCTTCAGGTTCAGGAATTGGAATCATTTTTGGTGGAAACCCCGCACGAATTTCCAGGGAAGGTGGTGGAGCATCATACGACGTCGTGTCCTCCACGTACACGCGATATGCTAAAAAACTTATGAGCACCCGAACTGGCGTTTCAGGCTTTAGCGTAAGTGTTAAACTAGACTTTGGCAATCGACAACGCAGTTTAAAACAATTCACACCTGAAACGACTTCTTGATGCCATGCATCGAGGGTAATTTCCTCTATCGGCAAAGGCCTGGGGGCTTTTTCTTTCCTTTCCACTGATTTTGCTCGCTGAAAAGCTTCTCCAGAGTCGAGATCAACCTCAACCACACTTCCATGATTCGACGTAATACGTTCCCCTAATTGTGCATTTTCATCATCAACACTTTCGTGAGCCTCAGAAAGCAGCCGCTGCGTGCGCTGCTTTGGCGATCCGTTTGCATCAATAAACAGCAAAATCTGCTCCACCACCTGCGTTCCGTCGATGATGCTCGGATGCTGCCGACAAAGGATAATCTTCAACTCCTTGTGCAGGGTTTGCGGGTCCACAAGAAACAACTCCGGTAAATTCTCTTCCTCCACGCGGTAGCTCTTCGCGAGCTCGAGCCCGTATTCGTTCCCAACATTCACCTCGTAGAACTCGAGTGACTCCGTCAAGACCTCCATCACCTCCAGATTCCACAAATCCCGCGCCAGGCAGGCGCTGGCAAAGTTCCTTCCGCGCACAGCGACGAGCACCCACTTGTCCTTCCCCGAGGCGACCTGGCAGACCGCCTGGAGGGGCATCCCGAGTTTGACGAACCCGGGGGTCGCGAAGAGCCGTCGGAGGGCCTCGTTCCCCGCGTTCCCGAGGTCGTCCGCGGGCTGTGTCATGGCCCACCCCGGCAGGGGGAGGGTCGGTGTGACCACCACCCCCTCCTCCCCCAGCCCGAGGCCGTTGCTCAGGGGGTCCTCGTCGTGCCGCCCCCCCCCGCTGGGTTCCCGCCATGAGGCCAAGGGGCCCCTCCCCCTCCCCCCTGCTTTCCCCGGTGATGGGGCCGGCGGGGATGGCGAACGGGGAGGCCCGGGGGTCCACCGTCGTCTCGTAGACCGGCGTCGCAAGGGAGGAGGGCAGGGCGGAGGGGACGGAGTCGGAGGGCTGCGCGGAGGCCTCCTCCGGGGAGGGCTGCCGCGCGACGTAGACGCTCACCGCCGTCGGCAGGTCAAAGTTGGCCGAGGACAGGTACTGAACCGCGATCGCCTCATCCGAGCAGGTGGTGATGGCCATGAAGTCCGCTACAAGGTCACTCATTGCGGTGAGGCAAGGGGCAGGGAAGAACAAGTCACAACAACAGCAAAAGATCCTTCACCTTTTCTCCCCCCCCTACATATACACACCGTTAAGGGGCTTCTCACGCTTTCGTTCTGCGCGATGGGGTACCTTCACCGGGGAAAGGAGAAGGCAAAGGAAGGGAGTGACGATCCTTGGAAAAGTGTGGAAAGGGCGGGGAGAGAATAAAATGGAAACCGAACACAACTGGAGGGTGAAGATCGTTGTATCTGTAAATTGTGTGTGGTGGTGGCAATAGGGAGAAAGCAACGAGATGGGATTCTGAAGAATATTAAAAAGAAGAATGAGGTACTCGGTTTAGTGATATATTTCGTACCCAAAATAGATTTAGCGTGTAAAAAAAAAGGTATGAGTTCAGCGACGAAATCAATCTTACTTTCTGAGATAAAATGGCCTTAACAAGAACATAAAAACCCTTAATTAGGAAAGAAGGAAAAATGATTAGTTTCTATGTGCGTGATCGGAAAATCATTGATAAATCATGACAGCTAGATTTTATAATTCTTCAAAAATGTCAAATACACTTTGATGGAGCGACATGTATTGTTTCATCCCAAAAAAATGTCATTATTATTGCTTTTAGAGTTCATTAGAAAAATCAATATACTATCCCTTCTCATGCAGGAATTTGGGAAGATTCTTAAATATGTATCTCTTGCAATAAACTAACTATTACACTACATGAAGCACACAAGTTACTAAATGGAATTGAGTAAAAAATATATATCACTATATACATCAATACTAGTAAGTGGAACTGATTCAAGAAAATAATCAACAACAATGACCTAAAAGTAGACAAATATGCACAAATAGGGTCTAAAAAGTGAAGTTTCCAAACCTACTCAAATAAAGACTTAAACTTGATAGAATTGATTTCAAATCTTATTTAATGTAAATAAAGAAGATAATCATGTTTTATTTTTAACTCGATGCAAAGGGTAGAAACCCAAACAGAAGTTTTTTAAATGGGCAAGCCCCAACAATTTTTTACTTTGATATTTGTATTATCAAAGGATAGGGATGCAAAACGAATGTAATACCGTTTTCTGGCATTGATGAAGAAAAAAATGTACAGGAGCACGACTATAAACTGCAATATCTCCATATTGCTTCCTCTTCATTTTTACTACGATTCTAAGTAGCCTGAATAATGGCATCTCCAGGAAAATTGATGGGTATCTTTGTGATTTCCCCCCTTTTACGAGAAACTACACAACCATGTAATTGTCATTTTCTTTTAAAGTTCCAAATTTGTCATTTTTTCTTTATGCAGTGCCTTTCGTAAAGATACCTCCGTGGTGTCTACCTCCTGTCGCCCTCTATGCTCCTTTACTAAATAACGCTTCGTTATTCACCTCCTAACCTCTGTTCTAAACCCCTCATGATACTCCCACTCCATCAACGCAAAATTTATTTTCTCTTGCATTAACAAAGCTTCACGAAGATCACGCTCTTCCAGGAGCAATTTATACCTAAGACGAGCGTACTGCTCGGCGACTTCCTTTTCCATTAACGCGCGTTCAGAATTTAGCTGCGCGCGGAAGGCATTCATCGCCTCGCGGCCGAGCTCAATTCGTTTGATATCGCGTTTTTTACGTATTTCACGCCCAATCATTCGATTGGAAAAACGCCAGTGAAGTTGCCCACTCAATGAACGACGAAAAGCGCGTTGTAAGATCAATAACGCATTATATTTTGAAGCATTTATGGAGACTGCATATAAGCATTTAAGCATTTTCAAACGAGGCCCTACGACTAAGCTAATCCATTTCGAATGGCGAACATGAATCCAGATGCGATGTTTTTTTTCATTTTCTACGATAAACCCCGAGAACCCAAGAAGCGCTTCAGAGTAAGTTTCCTCCCAGGCTTTTTTGTAGGCCTTCACAAGTCCATTTCGATAATACAATTGATATAGTTTATCATGGCGGGTGCTAAGAAGAACGCGGAAGGTTTTCTCCTCATTATCAATCCCAATTCGCGCTGTATTTTCAGCCTTTTCGCACAGCCGTAGCTGAGCTTCCACCGCGGGATCGATAGATTTCGCGCGAAATTTACAAACCATCTCTTCAACGGTATTTCGTAGATCCTCTCCGAGTGCGCGATAGCGCTGCTCTCGCCAGAAAAAAAGCCGCTCGAGATGCATTCGTTTATGTTCCCATTTTACCACCCCCTCAGCCTCATTACGCGCCATTTCCATTATACTTTGACGTTCTTCTTGCTCCGAGCGAACGAGCGCGCGGTGCTCAACTGTGACTTTATCAATTAAAGGTACGAGCTCCGAGATTCCGATCGCTTTTCGTCCAATGCCCCTCACGGAATTTATAAGAGGCACTGTGGGGTTGGAAAGACGACGGGAGCCTTCTGAGAACAGCAGTAGGTTGGGGTCGGGGACATCCTCGACCGTGCCCATTGCTTGCACAAAAGCCGAGAAAGAATGGCGCATTTGAATCGATGGACAATGGATATTTCCATTATTCGAATCACCCCCTTTTTCATCAATTTGTCTGCGTTTGGCCTTTAAATAGCGCTGAACGATACGGCGAGCGTCGTCTTCTGGAGAAGCCTCAGAGTTCCTCTTATCCGTGCGGAGGTGAGTGCTAACTATATTCGTGCTATTAGTAATAGGGTTGAGTTCTTTCTCTCTACGTAGCGCATCCAGCTTCGTCATTTTAAGTGATCGTTTTAGATGCGCCCTCATCTCTTCCGCAATCGTGCACACCAGTGGGGTTTGATGAAGTAGCTGATCCCGCGCCTTTTCCTCCTCAAAAAGAATGCCGCCTCGTGAGGTTCGTTCGATCTTCATCAGGTAATCAATCTCGGGCTTTAATACAAAATTCATATAATTCAATGCCATCATCTCAAAAACCGTATGCCGTTCAGACACCTCCACCCTGGTAATATGGTCCCGCACAGCAGTCTCTAAATCTGAAATCCAAAGATAAACATCCATCTCTCCTTTACTAAAGGAATCCAGTTCGATTGAAATCGACCTTTTATTATTCCTACCAAGAGAGCTATAGCGTTTGTGATGGGATGATTCGATATCCGTGGAACCTCTGCTATGGAGGGTTTGATTAGAGCTATTTGTCGAGACCATAGGGTATGTCGTCGTCGTCGTCGTCGTCATAGGAAGGCCTTCCCGGCGTGTGGTTTTGCATTCGTGAATATTCAGCGGGTCCACCGAAGTCCTACGCAGGCTCCGCGGCCGCATTAATCGTTCGGCTTCCCCTTTGAAGCTGGAAACCCGTCGGGAGATGTGGAGCAATTCGCTCAAACTCCGCACGCGGGGTTTCTCCGGGCGGAGCGTGGAGGGCGCAATCGGGGGTAAAACCACCGGTTGATAAGTCGGGTTCGGACAGAGAAATTGACGACGAAGTCGGCGAACCAGTCGATTGTAGGAGTCCTCTTCGGTCTGGCCTGCGCGAATGCCGTGGCTGCGCGAGGCGGCCGGTTTCCCCATTTCGGATACATCGCTAAAAGAACGCGGGGTGGGGTTCGTCTGGGGTTTGAGGTTCATATTTCACCCAACCTAATAAATTAATAGTCATAATAATAATAATAATGGAAAAAAGAAAGATGGGTATCAATCATTTAAGGGAAGCAGGGGGAAATCACCCCTTTCCACAAAGATAAAAAAAAAAAGAGAGAATCGCACACGTTTTCTCGACGGGAAAGAGTTTGGGGGTGGATCACGATCGACGGAAAGGGCGCCTAACGCTTTGCGCACTTCTCAACCACATCATACACGGTACAGATCGTTAAGTTTACGGCAGTACTCTCCTCCTCTCTCTTCTTATTCGTTAAAGATATATAAGGTTGTCAAAGGTAAAGCAAGTAAACAGAATAAAAATGGAGTATATCGCTCACCACTTCGGGGATGATGGCCAGCGCTGATCACGCGGCTCGACAATTTCTTCCTTGGCCTTTGGGTATTGCAAAAAGCGATGCCATGTCGGCGTCTCGACCATCTTCGCCTGCCGAAATATACGGGTCGCCTCATCCACAGTGCAGCCCATTTCTTTAGCTTTATTGGGAAGAACTTTAGTCCTAAACCATTCCCAATTTTTCTCGCCTTCCTTCAAATAGGACGGTTCACCGGTTTCCTTCCACCAGCTCATCGTCTCCACCCACCGCAGGCGGTTTTGATGGAGCTCGCTATCCTTGTGAGATTCGTAATCTTGTTTATATCGAAAGCGAACGTGGCAGAGCGCACAGCTCGGCTGCTCGCCAAAATTCCAGACATCTTTTCCGTTGTTCGGGATGCGGGTACTTCGGCGATCAATCCACTTAGATTTTTTTCGAATTCGAATTAATCGCCCCGCGACGGAAGCAATATTGCCTTTAACTGTCGTTACCTCAGCCTGCGCTAGACCACACACACGGAACATTTCTAAATTTTAGCCCCCGAGCAGAATAAGAATTAAGCTCCTGGTGAATACTAGCGAAGTAGAGAACTGAAGGAATAGAGGCTTGAAAGGAATTCCACTACCACTCTTCGCTTCTATTTCACGTTGCTAAAACGCAAAAAAAAACTATGAAGTCCCTTTTAAACATAAAATATCGCTGAGGTTCTGGCTTATAAAAAGAGATGATTGCTAAGAAGAGGAGAACAAAGCAAAAAAATGAATGATCCCAGTAATATTGATTCGAGTTGATAATATGATAAAGTAGTTTTCTTTCAAAATGAATTATAACTAAAGAGAGTTCAAATGCATCCATCCAAAATATTATGCAACATGTGTGTGAAATTTGGGAAGGGGGGAGGGGGTGGGGGGATAAACTAAAAAACAATGGTTGAATAACCTTCTCAAAATATGTCTAAACAGGAATCTATTCCCCCCCTTCGCCGATATCTATAAGTGGTAACAAATGTAGGTGAAAAAAGTCTTACACCACTGTCACTATTTTGGATCGTGGTATTCTATCTGTTACTTTGGCGAAAGTGGTTCTCACCAATGCAAACCTTCCTTTGACTTTCTCCAAGATTAACCCACGCTCCCTACGGGCCTGTAATCCACGAAATCCCAAAGCTAAGCGTTCCCTTCGGGTGCAAAGTGGCCGTCTCACGGATAAACGCAGTTGGGGAGGACAACAACGGGTGTAGGGAAACCTCCACCACACCAAGATTTTCACGAACATCATTAGCGCGTTCGTCAAAGACCACAAACACGATCGACCCATGGGCGACAAAATAAACAAGCTCCCGATCAACCACCACACGGTGATCAACCGGCATGACATCGAAGACGGGATCCGTCGTGAAGGCATTTCCGGCGGTCCGCACCACGGTATCCCGCACAAAACTGATCCCCCCCTTCGGGGAGTGCGCGGTGTAGAAGACGTAGGGCTGCGGGACCTGCGCCCCATCCGCGGACGCCAGTCCCTGCGCGCGAAAGACGTTCACGCGAAGAAAAAGTAGCGGGCGAAGGGCCATCAACGCCGCCCGCATCTCCCCCGCGGAGAGCAGCGCGCCGTTCGCAAGCGGTTGGCCCAAAAGCACCGGCAGCATCAACTGCGAACAGCACATCTCCATCAGAACCCACCCGATCTTCTCTCCGGTCCCGTCAATAAGGTAAAATCGCTCCTCCACAGATAACTCGCGCGCGGTGAGGAGGGCGATCCCCGGGATCTCATGCACCCCCACCACGCGGCTCCCAACCTCCGTTGTTTGATGTAGTTGTAGGGTAAAGACCGTGTGCTGGATTTGCGCGAGGGTGACTTTGTCCTTCCCGAGTCCTTTGTACACAAACCGCACCTCCATCGGCTCCTCCAAGGAGTGCAAGGTTGGGGAGAGCATGGTGTCGTACTCCGCTAGGCCGTCCAGGGAGAAAAATACGGAGAAGGGCTCTTTCATTGTTTGAATCCCAAGCGCCCGGGCCAAACCCTCCTCAGCCTCAAAGCCGCGAATGCAGAATTGAATTAAACCACCCGCCTCGTCGACTGCCCCATTTTCCGGCCTCGTGACGGCGGTGCGGTAGGCCTGGAGCTGCTGTTTGGCAAAGACAGTCTGAACGTGCGAGACGCGTCGTCGGAGTTCGATATTCTCCTCCAGCAGGGCCTCCTGCTCGGCGGAAAGGCGCTCGAGCTGCGCGCGATGTCGTTCGGCCTGCTCGGCCATTTGATGGCAGCGGGTTTCGGACAGCTCCAGGTCGAGCGCGGCAGTCGCCAGGGCCTCCCGCAGCTGCCCCTGCTCCCACGTTTCATCCCAATTAAGAGCGTCGTAGAGCGCCAACGTCTCGGCCGCCGTGGCGTCGGCTTCGCCAGCGGGGGGCTTTCGAATTTGCCGATCGCCCCGGCGCTTTTGAATCGCCGCGATGGCCAACGCGCGGTGGATTTCGTCCTCTTCGAGATCCTTCCCCGCCTGCCGGGCGAGGTCGGCCGGCGAGGAACGCCGCTCCGGCTCCGCTTGCATCGTATCAAGTTGTTTACGATACATCGCGACGTCCTCCTGAAGGCCGGCCATGAGGCGATTTGCGTCCGCTAAATCATGCTGGCAGGTCAGCAGGGCGCGCTCCTTCTCACGGCGCGCGGCATCCGCCTGGTCGCGCATCGCCTCGAGTTCGACCACCCGCGCGTTCATCTCCCGCCGCACCGCGTGCTCCGTCTCGGCGTTGAAATTGCGCAGGGAGTCGGTCAGCTTCAGGAGCTCCTGTTCGAGTTGAAGAACCTCCTCGGTGCGCCGGGCTAAGGCGAGCTCCACCTCCTCCAGACGGGCACATTTTGTCTGAAGCTCGTACTTCTCATAGCCGACCTGCATCACCTCTTTTTTGCTGTCCGCGAGGTTGGTGTGGAGCTGCTTGAGCTGCTCCACCAGCCGCGTGCACTCCGCGCCGAGCGTATCGACCTGTCCTTGGGTGGACTGCAGGCGGCTGTTGAGGAGGGTGATTTGGTTGGACTTCTCCCGCACCTCGGCCTGCAATTGGACAAGGCTGACCGGGTCGATCGCGTGGGGGGCCTTTTCCGGAGCCGCCGTCATCAACTTCAGCCGGGCCGCCAGCGCGTCCTTTTCCTGATGGACCTGATCCAAGGCCTGGCGGAGCAGCCGCTCGGAGTGCTGGTGGGCCTCCTCGCGGGTCTGATGGTCGCGGGTGAGTTTGGCGAGCTCATGGGGGTGGGCGTGCTCGAGGCTCGCGATCGCGGCCTGGGCCTGGCGGAGCTGCTGCTGAAGGCTGAGGATCTCCTGCGGGGGAAGCGCGGCGTTGGCCTCTGCTGAGGTGGGAGGGGGGGCCGCGCTCTCCGCACGCCTGCGCAGCCGGGCGATCTCCTGAGTAGCCTGGACCAACGACGCCTGACAGGCCCGTAAGTCCGCCATGGGGGGCTGGGCTGGGGAGGAGGGCGGTTGGGGGGGATTCCGCCCCTCCGTCGTGAGCGGGCGCGTGAGGCAGGGCAAGGGCGTCGTCGGCGAGGCCTCAGGGGGGGACGACGGGGCCTTCCGGTTCGCGTTCGGGGTGATGGACCGCACCACGCGGCCCGCGGCGAGCGAACGCGCCCTGGTCGGATCCCGTATCGACCGCTTCCAGTCGGCGACGAGGCGCTGGAATTGCGTCTGGACGCGCGTGAGCTTCTCCCTTGTCTCCTTTAGCTCTTTCCGAAGACGAGCGTTCTCCTCCTGTGTGCGTTCCAGGCGGTCATCAACATCGTAGCCGTTAGCGGTGGCTCTATGAAATTTTTGACGTATCATGATGTTGATGTCTATTCTATACGTGTGCCAATATATATTGAAGATTTATTCTAAATTTTACTTTATCACCTTGGAAGTGTAGGACAATATATTGTGTGTAGAGGATACTGTCGAAACTCGTGAATAAGAGTGTTGCTGATAGCAAAAAAATTATTCTTGTCAAGTTTGACTCTGTATTTTATGCTCTTTTTAACCACCCCTTTTTCCAGTTAGAAGAGTCAACAATCAAGGAAAAGTAATAAACTCTACCTAGGTGTATTCGATATCTTACAACAAATAACGGTATTTGGAAAGGAGTACAAGAAAAGGAATATTGCAAAGTTTATAATGAGATTGAACGCAAGTCACAAATAAAGAACACTAACTTTTTCCACATGGAACCAAATTCCGCATGTCACACTTTTTCGCTTTATTTTCTTTGAATTTCCTTAGCGATGTGCATAAATGTTTATATCGTCTGCCCACGTGGTATTTTGGGCTCGTGCTTGGTACGCCTTTTTTCTAACTTCGGCTGTATCCTGGGAGAGCTTCTTTAGGTACTTCTGTTCCTCAGCCCTGATGAGCTCCGCGTTGGCACGCTCCTCTGGTGTGCCGTGTAGACGCCTACTACCGTCCGACATCTCAGCATACTGCACGTTAATAATGCGATCTCTAAAAATTCTTTGGTTCATTTCTGCAATAACTTTATCACTAGCCTCAAAGGTTTTGTAGGACAAAATCACAGTACCACGGAAGCTCCCTACAGCGTCCCGCATCATCCGCGGAGGGGCCGCGAAGTGCCCGAACTGTTCAAAAAAGGTTGTGATATCGAACTCTAGAGCGCTCGTATCGACGTTGCGCACTACTACCAACGCACCCACCTCGTGCAGACCATAGGTCCATTTGCGTCCGCCTGTCTCGCCCTTCGTGAGCATCGTGCTCGCATGACTTACTTTAATTTCCTTGTTGAACAACTTTATCTGAGAAAGATCAAGAGCCTCGTAGCAGTATTTGGCGTCCTCGGGGCACTTAAAATCAACAAAGCAGTAGCTCTGTCGTTGTGCCATACCGTTCATAGTCCTCACTGTTGGCCACGTAATGTTCATAACGGGTCCGAACTCAACACAAAGTTCGTGAATAATACCCTCGTCGCACTGCTCCGAGAGACCACTGAAGATAACTCGACGCAGGTCCTCTCGTTTGTACATCGACATGTGTGCCTATTGTGTTAATTTGCCTACAACTCTTTTAATTTGTATTTTTGTAGTACTGCTTCTTAGATAGTTAAACAAATTAAACAACAGTTAACAACAAGAAATAGTTCTGAAGACTAAAAGGGGCTCAGAAATAAACAGGTCGTCATCCAATGAATTTTTACTTCTTTTTTTTCAACCACTGCCGTCTGTACCTAGATAAGCACTCAATCTTTCATAAATAAGCCTCATTTCCTGCGAAAAGGAACGTCTTGCTACTGTTCCAGTAGTGCAATGGCCTCCCGCAGATCCTCTACCTCATACCGGGAGAGCGACGGGATGAGTACCAGAGCCTCCTCGACATTTTTAGGTACTAACGTTCCAAGCGCGACGACTTCAAATTCTTTTAAGCGGACCTTTGACGTTCCGCTTGCATCCGCACCTATATGGTGAATATTATAATCATCAAAAGACATTGGAATGTTTGTGTTGCTGACGACCTCGCCCTCATCGCTGCAGGTGCGAAGTCGTAGTCGATGCAGTTCGCTTACGACATACTCGTTCGTGCAGGACTCCTGCAGCATGTTAACTTGTTGGTAACAACTATCAATGAGGCCCTTGGCCTTGTCATCCTCGTCCATGTCCTCCAGCCGCTTACGGAGGTACTGGGCAACAGTGGGGTAAGTCAACGGGGTCGCATTGCTGAAGACAAGGCCCAGCTCCCCAGCGACATAGTTTTCCTCATTCATAGATGGTGTAAAAGTAAAAATTGGTCCAAGAAAATTTCACACGAAGGAGTAGTTGTAAGGTTTAACTTAGTTACAAGAGGAGGGAAAGCGAGGAGGGGGAGGGGGGGAGGAGGGGATGGGGGCAGCTTTAACGGCAAGTAGTGAATATTATTTTAGTCTTCCTTTTACGAACTTACTTACCTTTTAGAAGATAAATTTAACTGAATAAATGCACCTTTTTTGGAGGGGTGGGTGGACATAATGTTGCTTGATTCATTTCTACAAAGTAAAAACAGATACATGCTTTTCATATAGAAAAAAGAAGCTGTACAGTGGTACCGACACTCTTAGATGAGAATTATATAAAAACTCACTGTTTGCATCATTTACTCTATTTTTCATTTAAAAGGGGAAAATTAATTCAACATGGATAAGGAATATGTTGCCACACAAACTACATATGTGACAAAAAGTACCTTATGGAAGGTCTAATTATATGAATAATATTTACGCGCGACTTCTCGAGGGGGCATACATACTTGTGTTCCGATAATTTTAAGGTCATCTAATTGGTTTAACGTTGAGACGCTATTTTTCATCTGGTTAATAACCTTTACCCCTGTGGGGTTGAAAGCTACAGGGTGAGGAGCTTTAGGGTCATTGTGCCGGCGTGACTTTGAGGAGCTCAGTAGCATCGTTGTGGACTTTAGCCTTGGCAACTTGACGTCTGGGTGAAGATAAGTGTTAGAGTAATAATCCAGGTAAGATATCGGCAGTGGGGCTTCGGATGCGCACGCCTGCACGCCATCCCGCCGCAACGTTGCGCGCCTCGTCAACGTCGAGGAGCGCGCGCGGTGGGGTGTCTTGGGAGCGAAGCCAACATCGGCATAGGAAGTATTCCTCTTTGGGCAGCCCCCCAGCCCCCCCACCGAGTCTCCCCCCCCCTGTGACTCTTCCACACCTGTACTCGACTCCAGCGAGGAGAGGTAGCGCGACAGGGGCAGCGCGCGCGGGACGGCGTGCAACAGGCCGGACGTGA